TTATTTTGATATATCACAGTGAAAGATTTATCGTCCTCTTTTTTTTTTTTTAAAAAAAAAAAAAAAAAAAAAAAAAAAAAAAAAAAAAAAAAGGCCCATGAGCTGCTCATTTGAATCCCACAGAAGCTGAGTTCAAGCTGGATATTGTCTACTAACCTGTGAATAATGTCTGTGAGTTTTCTATCAGATGTACCCATCTCTCCCAGGAGCACTGGGACATGAGTTAAGACACTATTAAGCATTGTTAAATACTATCAGTAATGTTAAATGCTATTAGAATTGTTCTGTGTTCAGCTTTCACTGTAATAAATATTTTAAATGTTTTCTTGTTTGATTAAAGCTGTCTAGAGCTAGATATTTGAGGATCCCTTCACTTATATTTGACAGACTTGAGCAAGAAACTGTCTAGTGGACCCTATAGGAGCAGCCCTCAGGATCATTCTGAGGATACTCCAGCAGCTGGAGAGGATCATTACCACAGTTGAAGACATGCATCACAGGTCACACAGACTGCACCACTTCTGGGAAAGAGCACTAAGCAAGACAAGCCTCAGTGAATTCTGTGATCCTCCAGCCATTTTCACCCAAAAATTTCTTCCCCATTTCTTTCCCATTGGCCAGAAAAACACCTGTGATTAATACAATCACAATCCTTCATTTGCTTGCCATGCTGTGCTGTGATTTGTGCAAATATACTTTCTCCTTTGCCTGAAGGTCTCCTGTAATTGGTATAAACACCCTTGTCACACCCCTTTCTGGATATATAAGGAGGTTTCTCAACTAACTATTTGAGCCAGACTGGAGACAATCTTGTGTACTGTTACCTGCTGTCATTTCAGGGTTGTCTTTTCTTGCCTACTCTTGATAGTCATCATTACTAGAGCTGAATGAGTTCCTGATATGAAACAGGATTGCATAACCAGTAGAAGAGCCCTAGCAGCCTCAAAGGGGGCAGCAGTGACAGTGTTCCTAATGATAAAAGGGCAGCAAAAGCACCAGAGAATGGCCGATACTGGGTGAGGGAGGTAGATCTTCCTTAAGGTCTCTGGAGCTGACTAGATTCCAGGGGATAAACTTGCACCGAGGCACATCTGGGTGCAGATGCTTGACCAGATAGAACAACATATATGACAGAATGCAAGTGTTCTGGTGTGGGGTTTTTATGGGGGCATGAGTGGAGGAAGGAGTCTAGATTTTGATTGAGGACTATTTTATAAAATTCACAAAACTCAATAAAAAATTTTACAAGTTGTGTTTCAGTGAGACAGGAGTAATCAAAATAAGTTTAAATGCTGAAGTATGTGTTCTAAATGAAAGTATAGAATCCACAGAGCACAAGTTGCAAAGATCTATTTTGAGCTACGACAAGGCACTGCCTTTTATCTGAATTCCTAAATTGACTGATGCAGTTATTTTTAATCTAGCAGAATTGCCAGGATTAGGCCATCTGAATATTGGGTTGCACTGTGAGGAAGCTTATATGTGACTCACCCAAGGGTCAGCTTCCAATGGACATTTATGAGGAAAAAACTGGCCCTTTAGATTTCCCGTGTTCCATACACTAGTTTTTATCCCAAACTCAGTGTACATTACCAAGTTAGAAAATGGTGCGTTATGAGTAATCATTATTTCAGTGGCATTCAGCAGGTTAACATTTCTCTTTCATGTGTGTCTGATCAAGCTGGTATTGACCAACTTAGCTTAAACTTTTCTGTAGTATGTCCCAGACAACCTATTTAAGTTTACCATGTGACTTCTCTTGTTCTACCAGAATCAGGGGACTGTAAGACTCATGTTGCTATGAAGGCTAGCACCACGTGGAAGAGTAATCAACATCACAATCACATTCATAGTTATGCCTGTGAGACTTCAAATCAGAAAAATCTGCAGACAACTGGGAAGAAAAGATGCAATACTCACAGAAAAACAATGTAAATGAAGGAACACTTTCATCAGAAGTATGAACAACAGAGACAGCTCAGCCACATTGGTAAGGTGCTAAAAGGAAACAAAAGAACTCCTATATTAAACTTTACCCACCCAAGGCTCAGGAACCATTGTGGAAGACTGTAAGAGCCAGGAAAGGAGGTGTATGACCATAAGGAAACAGAGTCTTAAGGGTTTCTGGGACCTTGCACATGTATTATCTGTAGCAATGGTGTCAGCATGCACAACACTCATATAAACTCAAGCAGTCGAATACTCAGCAGATAACTAGGGAAATGGGCATCAGGCCCCAATCTTAGCCTAGGAACTATTGCCAGCTAATTAATGTTGGGTGAGGGAGAGCTGATCTTTAATAGAGTGATCCTACATAGACTGACTAGATACAAGTGGATGAACATGCACTGAGGGATGTCTGGGTACACTGAATTGATTGAATAGGCCTTAATATATATGACAGAATTCATGAAATCTGGTGGTGGGGCTATGGGAGGATGCTACAGATGGGGGAGAAAGTGTAAAGAAAATTAAAATGTTTTGTATGAAATACACAAAAATTCAATAAAAAGGAAACAAAATAAATCAGTTTTGAATTCTATATCCCATAAAAAATATCCTTGTAAAGGATAACAAAATAATTATATTTTCAAAACAATTGAATATGAGAAAACATTTTCAGCAGATTTCTTGACAAGAAATACTGAATTATTTTTGAGACTGAATGGAAAGAAGGAAACTTCAAAGTATGTAAAGGAGAACACAGCAATTGAAAATGGATTGACAGTGTGTGGATGGAGAGACCCATTTTGTAACTCTCTTCTAATTTCTCTAAAGTAATAAAATAACATTCTCAGGCACATTTAATATGAATAAAAGTAACATATGGACACAGCATACAAGAGAAATGCTATTATAGCAGGGTAGTACATCATCTTCGTGAAATATGACAAATGAAGGGTGATGTTTCAAATGATAGACACACAGGGAGAAAAAGAATGTTTGTATATAGAGCTATCCATGCCCTTTTTAAGGCTTTTGTACTCACCAAATGTAAAGTGTACTAGGATTTGGAAAACAGAATTTTTAAATATTAAAGAAAAACAATATTTGTAACATATGGGTGCATTGTTAAAGGAAGAAAGAATTTTGTCAGGTGTCCTATATTCAGTCAAAATAAAGACAACAGGTATATCTAAGAAAATATTTAATATATACATATATATATACATGTATGTATTCTTGTGAGGCATTTCTCAAAGTAGATTGTGAAAATGGCATCTTTCCATTCACAGTAGTAGGGCAATCACAATATTAAAGTTTATAAATGGATAATTCAAATACAAGATAAATGCACTATTCTTAGAATATCCAATATTCCAAAACTCTCTGTGCCTAAGAATGCACATATAATTTTATTATACATCTAGAAATATATATTGTACATATATTATACACATTGTATCAGAAATATTTTATTTTTTTAACATCTTTACTGACATGAATTAACATCATATTTAACCAACGTTCCCTTGCATCTCATTGTACATCTCCCAAAGCATGCCCCTTCTAAACTTCATCAGTATTTAAGGGTGTAAAGCCAGAGGAGGGGAAGGAATGCTGTGAAATGCTGTCTTCTGGATGTGACTCAGCTATTACAGTTAAACAATCATAGTAGCTATAGTTATCTTCACAAGTCCTGCACAAATTATTCCTCAACTAAAGCAAATGAAAGTGTTCATCTGATAAGATTCGTTTCTTAAAATAAGATGAATTTCTTCAAAAAGAGTTAAGATGTGATTTGAGAAAGCATTGTTACACTAAATAATTGTTCTCAGCAACAATACATATCTCATTAAATGAATAACTTACAGATAAACTGTACATATTATGGAATCTGTAGCAGTCAGCTTTAACCATATATTTAGACTTAAAATTAGCATATTAGATTTCTCTGTTATTCTTTTTAAAGAAATACAGCAATATAATTTTGTATCAATTTACATATGAAAAGGCAGAAAATTACTAATTCTATAATTACAACACTAAATAGTAAAACTCATTAATATAGAAATAGAATACCTTAAATATGATTGCTTAAGCTTAAATTTTAGATGTTGTATTAGTCACTTTTCTGTTGCTGTGATAGAAACACTGACCCAAGCAATTTGTAGAAGGAAGAGTTTATTTGAGCTTATGGTTCCAGGGGAATTACAGTCCGCCATGGCAGGGAGGCATGGTGCCTAGAGGTGGCTGGAGCTGGAGGAGCAGCAGCTAAACTCTCACATCATCAGGCAGGCACAGGAAGCAAGAGAGCACCTGGA